GTAAGTATTAGGGCCCCTTTGCTTCTGCTCAAGCTGTCTCCAAAGTTCAGAGGTTACATTCTTACACGTAAGACCTATAACTTGCTTCCCCCAAACTTAGTTTTGATGTCATCTCTGTCTAAATTTCTACTTTTACTCCCAGATTTTTTTCCCAAATATATACCCAGCCACTTCACTTGAATGACAAAAAAGTCAATGTATCTATAGCAACTCAAAATTGTCCCCTTCCATCCTTCTCCTGTAGCTTCCCATCTCAAAGAATGGCGTACACTCAAATGAGAAACTCAGAAGTCTGTTGGCACTTTTCCTTCTCCACGGTTCACACAGAACTGGTTCTAACCTTGGTCTATATCTTTAATCCACAATCTCCTAATTTTAATGGCTCACAAACTGATTTTCAGGCACCCTCTGTTGCTACCTTCTTATTTATTCCTCACATCACTGCCAGAACCATCTTTTATAAATACGACTCTGATCATGTCCAGTTGGACCCTCTCCAACTCTTCAGTGGCTTCCTATTACCGTTAGGCTCAATTCCAAAGTCCTCAGCGTGACCCTCAAGGGCTCTGCTCCACACCTCCTTCAGGACTAGCCATCTTACTCTAACCATGGTGGCCTCTGCCCAAGGCCTTAGCAGGCAGAGCCTCTTCCTACTAGGGGTCTGGCAAAGGCTGTTCCTTCAGCAAGTGCATTCCCTGCCCCTAAACCCTTCTCTGTCCTCCTCCTTGTTCTTCAAGGCTCAGATTAAATGTCACTTCCTCAAGGAGATCTTGCTTGCCCAGAGCAGACAGGCCCCTTTGTTCCACACTTCTGTAACTCCCAGGTTTTCTTCTGGCAATCATCACAATGATTGCTCCCTGGCCTCAATTCTGTGCCTCTTGCTTCACATTTTGAGTTGCCAGCTATCAGGCAGCAGACGAGAGAGTAATGTGATTGTTTTATCTGCACGCTCTGGACTTGCTGTTCAGAAGGGGAGGTTTCTTCACCTGATTTCAGCTCGAGTTATTTTCAGGGCTGAAATTGAATTTACATTTCAGTTCCGACTCTGAACATCCTCAGAAACACCCACTTGTGGAGAGCAAGATGCGCCTGCTCTGGGTTACTCCAGGTGGTGTAGAACAGCAGTCTCCAGACTGTGCCTAACCCTGAGTCACTCCTTTTATAAAGCAGCAGTTTGCCATGATCCACTCCATTTTGCGTATCCATCCTAAGGCAGAATGGCTTGGTAACTCGTCTAGGCAAATAAATACCCGATATTTGACATAAAGAATTTATTGAAAAAAAAAAAAATCCCCAGGTACATAGCACAATCATAAGGCACAATATGATAAATCAATCAATCATATGTTATGATTTGGGTATATGGTGTCCCCCAAAAGTTCATGTGTGAGATAATTCAAGAATGTTTAAGAGGTGAAATGGTTAGGCTATGAAAGCCTTAACCTAACTGGTGGATTAATCCACTGATATGGATTAGCTGGGTGGTGACCACAGGCAGGTAGGGTATGGCTGGAGAAAGTAGGGAACTGGGGACGTGCCTCACTGGGGACGTCCCTGTGAATAGAGTTTTCTCTCTGCTTCTGGGTGGACATGTCCTGAGCTGCTTTCCTCTGCTAGCCCTTCTGCCATGATGTGCTGCCTGACCTTGGGCCAAGTCAACCATGGACTGAGCCTCTGAAACCATGAGCCAAAACAAACCTTTCCTCTTCTAAGGTGTTCTTGTCTGGTCTTTAGGTCACAGCCATGAAAAAGCTGACTAAAACATCATGCTAACAAAAAATCATCACCTGGGAACTTACTGAATTAAATCTGAGGCACTTGGATGCAGGGGCGTATCAAATCCATGCTAGAGAAACCAGGCCCAAGAGCTTATCAAACACCCAAGTCCATCAAGTGACGCAATCCCCTCACCTGAAACGCATAAGAAGAAGGGCACCTAAGATGGCGACCCCAACCTGTACTGTCATCTTTTCATACCACCTGAGATCAATAGGTGACAAAGATCCCAACTCTGGGGCTTTAACCCAGCTTGATCTCACTTCTTGACGTGGCCCACTTGGAACTTCCTGCCCTCTGTGCCTTGACCAGCTCCCTGAAACCTGAGCAGCTCCATGCCTCCAGAAATTTCCAAGGCTGGGTTCTTCCTTTTTCAGAATATCCCTCAGGGACTCTTCTACATCTCTATTAGCTCTCTGCCTCTGCTGTTAGTTATGCCTCTCAACTCTGTGGCCACTACTAACCCTTTATTAGATGCTCTGCAACCTATATATCATTGTGTAACGTGTGATGTATGTCCCTAGTGTTATAGATTCACAATTAAAATTGGAACAGGATAAAAGAATTGGTGATTGCGACTCTCATGACACCAAGTGAACCATGAGTACTCTGTGAATTAAAGCTGCTGGAATGGATACAGCTATGAATTTATTGCTAGTCAATAAATTCTGACCTTGTGGAAAGACACAAACAAGTCCAGTCTGGGTTAATGACATAGCTCCCAACAACACTACATTGTGACACACAGAATGAAGAACATAAGTAGAAAGTTGTCTGCCATATGCCAATTAATTGAAATGAAGTGTGGCAGAAACCACCAACTCATTCAGGAAAAAATGGTGGAATTTCAAAACCACCAGAGGTTGTTTCTCCTATATGTGCTGTGTGTAGAATTCTTGAAAGACATATGACCCAGGGGAGGAACACCTATTAAGTTGGAACTTCTGGCAAATCTTCAAGAGCACCTAGTTATTTTCTAATGTAGTTAAAAAAACAACAACAACACATTAAGAATCATTTGAAAATGCAGTCAAAACCCTGCTTTCCTAGGTCAAAGGACAAAATGACAATTTAACTGTTTTTTAATGGGTTTTATTTTCTGATTGTAGAACGGGTCAACATTTTACTCCACAAAATAGAGTAAGCAGATAAGCAAAGCAGAACAGGTTTGTTTTATGGACACAAAAGGGCTGAAGAAAGAAGAAATAAAAAATGAAAAGCAGACTGATCATTTCAAAGTGAGTTTTCTTGTTTCTTGTTAAGGTCGGGACAAGGAAACCAGAATAATAGAAAAAAACCTGAAATCAGGTTACTTCGTGTTACCTTTTTTTTGTACAAGAATTAAGATAGACACCACTTCCTTGTCACGCCAATCAAAACCGCTGTTGCTCTTGAGGTCAAACAGTTTAGCTTCATCTTGGTGATGTGGAACTTTGGCCACTCCATTTTGAGTTTTAGCCTGCTCTTAGGGCCCAGTGCAAGAGCCCGGTCCAAAAAAACGGTGGCTTCCTGTAATTAGCATTTAACACCCCTATTGTTTGCAATGGAATATTCATTCTTAAAAGGTGTCCTGAAAACCATCAGAACGGAGATAGTAGCCTCCACATGCAGGACTTCAAATGGCCAAGAGTGACATGGAAGCACCTTTCACCCTGAAGATGAAGGTTAAAGTTCAAAGTTTGATTGTAAAACGAAAGGAGGTGAAATGTGCCTAAACATTCGCTGGTGCCCTTCACCACCTGAAAACCTATTAAATCATGGTGGAACTCAGACTTGGTAGAAGCTGTGATCTGATTTTTAAAATGAGTCTTCCCTTCAGAATAAGTGTTCCTCAGGAGTTGCCCCGGGGCACATCCCTCCGCCCGAGTCACAGACAATAGATGCCAGTAAGCAGCTGTTCCCAGGAGGGGCTTCACCTTCACCTGGGTTGGAAGGGAAACGTGGGCAGGCAGAGCCGCTCCGCGAGCAGCCGCCGCCCGGCGCCCCTCGCCCAAGCTCCCACCTCCCTCGCGCGGGGAAGGTGCTGCGGGCTGCGCGGCATCTCACTCCTTCCCTTGGACCTCGGCTCTTGCGCGGCCCACGCTCTGCGCTGCACGGCGGAAAAGCACGCGCAGGTCACATGTGCCTGGGTTTTAATCCAGAAGCACGATCCCCGCCGAACCGAGGCCCTCGGTCTGGGAGCAGACGCCGTGAGTCGCGGACTCGGGGGTCCGGACGTCGGCGCGGGCGCCGTGGGGGTGCCGGGCGGGGTGGCGCGCAGGGTGACCGTCCTCCGCGGCCACCGCGCCGCATCCCCGAGCGGCCCCCGGTGGGCACCCTCCTGGCGCGGGGCCGGGGGCGGCGCCGGTGGCCGGGTCGCCGCGGGGCGGCCACATC